TCATTACACACGCACGAGAGTCGCACTTGTAATATGGGATACAAACACATATTTTGGCGAGAGGACTAAGGGGTCATAGGGCTAGTTGAAGAAAAGTGCAAAAAATGCTCACAGTCGCGATACATGCCACTAGACGAAGGCAAAGTTACAGGGAAAGGAGTGAGTGTTTGCTGTATTTAGAGTGTAGTTTTGCTTGGTTCTTCAATTTTTTTATCCATTTCATCGATTGGTCTGCTGACCATATGCTGACCGCATACTCGTCAGAATCCCTTCGGACTTCCCGCACTCTCAGCAGATCGAGGCATGCTCGAGCGCAGGGTAATCGCAGGTCGAGGCATGCTCGAGCGTATATTACATATCATTATAAACAGTTCGTGATTCTGGACCATGCTTTTGGTAAGGAACTGCTGCGCGTATGAGGAATCAAACGCAAGAATATTAAGCACACTTCCGCTGTATTTCTGGGTATCATCAATATTGTTGGGCTATTCTTATAGCCATGTGCATCAACACTGGTTGTGCGCACACATTGTCTGATAGGGTGCACCAAAGGCACTGCGAAATTGGGAAGCAAGCTGGTGTACTAATTCCAGCCGCTTTGTTCGTGCACATTACCGACCGTACATTGAAACCGTTTCATTAACACGCGCGCGGTGTCAGAATTAAAAAGGAAAATGGTTTACCATAGGCAGCTCGAGATCCGTTTGTTAGTGAGGGTGAGGCGTTTCCGTTGAGTGAGGCCAAATACAAGGTCATGCAGTATACTGCCGTCGTATTTGGAATAAAATAAAGACAGACAGTCCAGGTATGCAGCCGTATCTGCTCAACGCACTGAATGTTCACCATAAATATTTGGGAGGAGCGCACTCAAGCACGCAAAGATGTGCGCACCCCGTAGCCGTTTCACGCGAAAAGGTGACACTAATGGTGCCTTCTCCATTCTTATTTTTATCTGTATCCAGCCCTATTCAACATATCAAATAGCAAAATTGGTTTGCGAGGCGTATATCTGACGTTCATATCATTCAAAATAAACCAAAACGAGCTGTTTTACAAAATAATCTTTTTGCCCATCATGGAACAACCAAGATTTTCATTCCGGTTTTCAGCAGCACATCCCACGCATATATACATACATGGAAGACCCTAAACATGGGTCTTATGGGTCTTTCCATGTATACATACATACATGGAAAACACCCATACATTACAAGCCGACGCGCGTTGATGCAATACACATCACTTACGGGCACGGGCACAGAGGCCATTTGAAGTTTTTTACAATTCGTGATTTTTCGTCACCCCATCTGTTTCTAATTTTGGAAGATGTTAAAACAAGATCTCATTGACACAAAATGAATGTCGAATGTCCCATGAAAATTGGACCAACCGTCTTCGTGATCTCTGGTGGCAGGAAAACTATGCGCAATGCAGCTTGGCACAAATCTAGTAGCGCACGGAGAATGCTGTTAAGAGCGTGTACCGTGAAGTATGATTTCATGGACGTCGGCCACATGTGATGGGCAGAGCACCAAACCTCGCAATATTCACCGAAAGCTTCTCGCATACATGTATCATCTGGCAGGGAACCGTCATCGCTACAGCAGACTGATGAGGGGCCGGTCCTGGGATGTGTCCTTTCCGTAACGACCGTCATCGCTACAGCAGACTGATGAGGGGGCCGGTCCTGGGATGTGTCCTTTCCGTAACGACCGTCCATCGCTACAGCAGACTGATGAGGGGCCGGTCCTGGGATTGTGTCCTTCCGTAACGACCGTCAATCGCTACAGCAGACTGATGAGGGGCCGGTCCTGGGATGCGTCCTTTCCGTAACACTTTATGCAAGCGGCGTGATGTTCCAATTCCTTTCAAAAATAAATTTCCATGAGAAACAAAGTCACATTGAGCGGCAAGCTAGGTGGGAAGGGTCACCTGATGAGTAACCACATGCGCTGCGGAATATTTATTCATGACCAGCGGATGCTCTACATCAACCTATGCCATTCTAAGTTGCACTTACGTCACTGAAAGGGGACGTTTTTTAAGATGTTTTCAAGAAACAAACGAACAACGCTTGTTATCCACGGCCTTGGCTGTCCCAGCTAACACCATTCTTCCCTCCCTTGGCCGGGGCAGGATACAAAGAACAAATAAAAACGATCGTTGAAGTTTGTCAGCGCTCGATCTTAGCGTTTCGAGCAAAAATTTATCAGATTCGCTTTACGCTTATCGATGGCACGGTCTACCTCTTAGCATGACAGGTCTGTCTGCCCCCGCCCCCCCCCCCCTCCCCCCACCACCCCCGGATTAACCGATGATGCACCTTCGACGCGTAACACACAGTACAAACACTGTGGGAGGCAAACCAAACAAAAACACGGCGTATCTACCCGACCTCAGCGGGACACCGTAGTCGGCACGAACGTAACGGCGAGCCAGTTAAGCGGCCCAATAAAGGACGCTCTCTCAGACAGCCACGATACGCATTACACAGAGCTCTCACCTGAGATCTCACGTGGGTATCCCACCGGTGCAGGAACCGCAATACATCAAGGTAACCGCGGGACTGGCCGACCCTCAAGACGATACGGTAGCCTGTAACGCCCCGTAACCGCTGCAAGATGAACTATCTTATGTACATACGAACACGCGCCTGGGCGCCGGCTTCGGGGGCTGAGCAGCCAGGCTCCGTGTTGGCGAGACCGGCGCCTGCCGCCGACTGCCGCTGTCGCCTGGGGCGCCGAGGTGACCTGCAGCGTGCCCTGAGGCTACGCGCATGTGTCGACGCCCCCATCGCCCCAAAGCGACACGGCGCTGTCGTGCACTGCGTGTTGTGTGGGAGGGGGGGGGGCTGTATAAGCTTGGTGCATGTTGGACGCGTGAGAACTGGACGGGAGACTTGGAAAAGTGGAGTGGGAAAAGTAGAAAAGTGGAAAAGTGGGAAAGTGGGAAAGTGCAAAATTTGTAAAAATGGAGAAGTAAAGCTGCAAGCAGCATGTGACGCAGTGGAAGTTGTATGTAGCTGTGCATGGCAGATGAGATGAATAAGAGAGAAGTGCGGTGACTATATGCGGCACACGGGCTTGGTAAAAGTTAACGCGTTAACCACTACACTCGGTTAACGCGTTAACGCGTTAATCAGGTATAAAGTGAAGTGTCGTATGGTGACGTTAACCACGACACTACACTACACTTGGTAAAAAGTTAACGCGTTAACCACTGCGCGTCTGTGAAACCAGAGGTACGGGGTTCGATTCCTTGCGGTGCCCGCCCTTCCTGCCAGGGTGAGAGGAGGGCGACACTATATAGCCTCAGCAGCTGAGTGCGTCGTAAAGCCCCAATGACTCACAGGGCTTGGTAAAGGTGCCTGCATACAAGTTGTACGCATTACGCACCTCAAGGCAATTGTGACGCTGATTTTTTTTGCCTCGTCCTCCAAAAACTTAACTGTGACAACCAAAACTATGTGAAAGACATATATTCCAAAAAAAGGTATTCAGGAGCTGCCAGACACCGTTGAATTGCGCGCCTGTACCATTTCGGGGTCAACGCGTCGAGCGGGGCACGGGTCAATGCCAACAGCCATGGCTCCGTCCTTGACGCCAGGACCCGAGAAGCAACGGCGGTCGCATCCGACCCGTTTGCTCGCATGGACGGGCGCGTTAGCCTACTACACGCCTCCACCAAATCACGCAGTGCACCGCGTTACGGCTGTCGCACCGGCAGCTGGTGCCGAAGTCGCATTGTCACAGCGCTGGAGGCGAGCTTGTGCTGCATGTATCACCAGCTTGTGGCGCGCTCTTAAGTTGTCCTGAGCTGCATCTGCTGCCACTGACTGCTGCATCAGCAGCGTCAGTGCTGCGTCAGCGGTGTCAGTGATGCGTCAACAGTGACCGTTGTAAACGAGGAATTTGTCGCATCCGTCAACTGGCCCGTCTTAACCATCAGATGCTCGGTTTTCAGCCTAGTGTCTCCCGCAAATTCGAAGGGCTGTTAGACCTGCAGTCCCTGCAGTAGGCTCGAGGCGTATCAAGATGATGATAATGATGGTGGTGGTAGTGGTGGTGATGATGATGATGATGATGCTGAAGAGAATCGCATCCAAGCCGAATAATTTGAATAACGTCTTCTTGACAGGCAAACCCAAAGGAGCCCTTAACTTTTGAAAACAAAATTTTACTGACATAACAAACACGCAGACAGAAGGGCGCGCCATAGTGTATCTTTCACAATCTCAGGCGAGTCTCAAGTAAGTCACACAAGCATGGCACGGACGGGTCGTGAAGAGCTTTTGCATTCACACACCACCGTAAACAGTGTATATACGAAGATGCGTGCAGCGGGCGTGTACAGTATGCCACGTAACTCGGCGCTGAGCTCTGGACGCCAGCCCCGCCGACGAGAAACCGTAAACAGACGTAAACCGCACAGCACGCGACGAAAGGCAGCTGCGTGTCCCGCGGCGCCCGAGCCAGACCCGTCACGTGACTCTTATGCACACGACACGTTACGCATGCATGAGAGGCACGTGACGAGATGGCGAATCGGCGGAGGGGGAGGGGCGGTGCGAGCTGCCAATCACCTGCGAGCTGCCAAACTGCCAATCACCTCTGAAAAACGCGAATCTTATGACACAGAAAACGAAATGGAAACAGGGTGCGATCGTTGACCATGCTGCATCCGTTTGCTAAGATATTTATTACGGAAATTACACACCATTCTAAAGTTTTCACAAAAAGCCGGCTTCGCATAGCCTTGAAATCGAAAATAATCCCCTGTTGCAGCCCAAAGCAATTTATGATATATTTCTGCTTGGGTTTTAAATTTCGAATATTGTAGATGCAAATCAAAGCGGCCAAAATCCGAGGAGAAATCAGGCTGGGGGTAGGTCAAGCCAGCCATAACGGCTTAGCTCCCTCCCGCAACCAATTTTTGGAAGTGGTGGGCTGTGACGCTGGCTTCAAGGCCGTGCAGTTTCGCTGCCAGCATAGCGCGGAGCCCTAAAAGCCCTTGTGCGTCTGGCAGGTGTCAAAAAGGATGACTAAGTCGAGCTGAGCAAATACAGTCACGAAACACATTACAGCTC